CACAGAGAACGTCAGCACCACAACGTTGATAGACGTCGAGCCAAGCATGCTCAGTAGTTCGCGCGCACGGTCGCAATCCCGAATGATCCATTTGAAGCCTCTTTTCCACGTGTGCGTGTCGGGCAGGAGTAGCGGCAGGCTCGTGTCGTTGAGACGCTCCAAAGTCAACCTCACAGCAATCGGCTCCCCGACTTTCCTTTCGTACCACCTCCGATGATCATATTGACAAAGAGCGACGGCGAGCACGACATTGAGAATGATCGAGAGGAGCGGCCAGAGGAAGAAGCGTCGGTAGTGATGTAGATAAGAGTAGTCCGAACTCAACGTAACGACAAGGAGGATGACGAAGAGGGCGACGTATCCCCAGACGACACTATCCATGGTGGGGTCACGAGCCTCCTCTGCCATCGCCGTGCTGAGGTCGCCGCTGAATTGAGGGTCATTCATCCACTCGTTGAAGCCCGTGAGGTTTTTCCTTGGATAAGTAACCAGCTCCAGGTGGCATGAGCTCTCGTTCACTTCGATAGTGGCTTGCTCTGTATGCCGTCGCCTGCGCGCGGGGGGGGTACACGTTTTTGCCTTTGGCCTTGAGTCGTATGGCCGCTGGTCTTCGACTATGGAGACCTTTTTGCACAAGCTAGGCAAGGCAGTGAAGGAAGCTCACTATAGGGACGACAGGGATTTCTCGACGGGCTATGTCGTGGCCCGATGGTGGGCCCTCTTGTCGTGTGCAGTCAGGCGTGAGTGTGCTCTGACGGTGCGCGGTAAGAGTGAGGCCGCCGCACCATTCATCCGCCCCTTCCCCAGAGACGAGGTCTGGGGGAGGGGCCCCTACTCACCCCACTAGGTCTTTTGCTCGCCACGCTGTGACTTCCATGTGCCTGCGTGTGGGTGTGTGTGCGTGTGTGGGTGGGTGGGTGTGGGTGTGCATGTGAACTATTGGTATTCCTGTGAGGGCGTGTAGCGTGGGGTGGGTGTGCCGGCATGGCGTCCGGTCGCGTCTGGTCTGCGTGTGTGTCTTGCCTCCCTTGTGGTTTTCCCTGCGGTGATACGTGCATGGGCGTGCTCTGTGGTTGTCTACGAGTCGACCGCCTGCCGCCCCTCTCCGCCGTGGAGCCTGGGGCGGCGGTGCGGTCGACTTTCATGCACCGTCATCTCCCCGTGGGCGGTTGTGTTAAGGGCGTATTTGGGTGTGACTGGTCGATCTGCACTGGCTGGCCACCTGGGATGGGCGGTGTGTACGTATGGAGCCATGGTGCAGCACGCACGCACGCCGCTTTCAGTCCACCGGGGCGGCATGTGTGTGCGTCGTTATGTGCCCGCTCATATGTTGCCGTCGTTCGCAGCGCATTGCATATCCACCTGTTTGCTGCTTCTGCCCTGTGCGTGCTGCGTGTTGCGTGTCTGTGTTGCATGTTAGGGTGCGTGTCTGCATGTTGGGACAGACGACACAGGACTTGGCCGTCAGGCCGCCTAGGGTACTCCCTGAAACCGCTCCATCCAGGCAGAAGAAGACAGACATATAGACGCAAGTCCTTTGATCCGTTGCCTCTCTCGTTACTTACCTTCAGGCGCCGTACCATAATCCGACGACTCGCGCACACGCTGTAGTTCGGGGAAACACGGCTTGAGGCATTTCATCGGCACATCAAGATCATCGGGAAAGCACGGCCCATGGGAGCGGCAATACCTCGATTTGATCTCGTAGCTTCCATGGATCATCTCCCTCTTGCAAGTGCCGTACTTGCAACAGAATGATCCGCAGTCCACCTCAGCACCATATTGACAATGGACCAGCTGCAGCACAAGCGCACCCAGCAGTAGCAGGAGGCGACCGATGATGCCAAATAGTTGCATGATGCAGTGCAGCCTTCTGTGCATACGTGGCACGCTGATATGTACCTAGCACAGAAAGGCGATATTGTACACGCGTCTTATTCATTGCATTTAGGGGCTCCAGAGATTTCCTCTCGTCAATTGCTATTGCGTACCCCTATATGCGTACCTGTATGCATGTATGTCGATTTATGTATGTATCTGCGTTCATTCTGTCGAGAGAGACTGAGAGAGGAAAAGATCGATTTCTGCCTGCCTCACTTATCTCTTAGTAAGCAAGCCATCCCCACATAAATACATAGTACATGCGCCTGCTTGCTGCCGACACATTGCGAGAACTCTACACACACACACATCTCATCACGACACGCACGACATAAGCATGTATTATGCCGCACTTCTGTTACGACACGTACGACATAAGCATGTATTATGCCACACTTCTGTTAAGGTCATTTGGTACTCTATATTCTGCACAAAAATCGATGAACGAACCACGTCAGTCACCACAGTGGACGATGGGCATCTGGCAGCGCACCATACATGGATGAGAGGAGGGACATATAAAAATGCACACGCAGACACAAAGGCGGCAGAAAGCACGGCTCGATCACATTGACAGACAGAAAAGGCATGTCTGCATAGACAGTTGCGTCGGTCAGTCTGCAATTCACTGCCTTGCTCCAGCGGCTCCCCCAACCGGTCGACGCATGACGGCCCGCTGCGATGATGGGCTTCTGTAGTCCTCATTGCGAAAAAGATGTAATGGAAGGACCACTGCATCGATTAATGAGGGAGGCAAATACACACGCACACACAGAGATGGGCATATGCAACTGAGGAGAGGGTACCGGAAGGATAGGCGAGAAATCATATACACACACTCCAAGCCCAAACGTGCATGCACAGGTGTGCGCACAGAGTTGTTCATCATATAGCAGGATAAAAGTTCAAACGCCAGTCTCTGAGGCCTGTTACGCAGTCCATTCTGGAATGCCAGGGTCTGCAAAACTCCGTTGAATCTGCGAATGATCCTGTACATCATGCTGTGTTTATAGCAGGATAAAAGTTTAAACGCCAGTCTCTGAGGCGTATTACGCAGTCCATTCTCTCTGTGCGTGTGTGCGTACTGTCACATCGTCGTTGTCTCAACCCAAAGTTGTAAAACACGGGGTCTCGGTTTTTTTTTCACAATCCAAGCTCTGTCCGTTGATGTTAAGTCCATGAGGAATTCAAAGCCGAGACTGTGTCCTCCATTGGCACCGGAAGCAAGGGTATTCGGTACCTGGTGAAGCCAGATATAGTGGCAAATCCTTTTCCTGCCTCTTTACCTACGTGAAGGTTGCGTCTGGGCTGTTCCCATCGAAGACACGAATATCCACGTAGTACTTGATCTGTGTGCGAACGTGATTGACCGCATTGGTCGCTTCCCCTGAAGTCAAAACAAAACAAACATGTAGCAGTCAACGAGTATTTGAGCTCACCGTAATGGCTGCCTACGCGGGGATGAACTCCTATTGTGGCATATGATTCGTTGACTTGCTTACGTGCTGAGTCTTTTTCGACTTGAACGCCCTCCCCAAGGTGGATTCGTTGTCCATGGAGGTCAAGGATGAAACCAAGATCCGATGGTGTCACAATCTCATGATCGTCAGACGCGACCTGGTATTTGAGCTTGTCGCCGTCGACGAACATACGCATCTCGACTGGTGGCACATAGGGCACGGAGGGGGCGAGCATTGTGATGTCGAACACGTAATCGAGGCGAAAGAAAGAGTTCGCACGCATGTATCAGTTTTTTATCGCATAGACGGACTGCATTCTCAGAACTCCGCGTATGTGGTTGGTTGGTTGGTTGGTTAAGGGTTTGACGAGACACCTGTCCCTAAGCCCGGCGCTACCTTCCGGCGCAACCAGGCATCTTCTCTGTCCACAGCACACACCAAACAGGCAACAGGCACATGCAGAATGCATGCACAAGGCCTATCTGCCCTTCCCATGGAGCAGTGGGTGCTAGTCTGACAAGTCAGCGTCAAGCACCCACTGCTCCATCTCATGCAACTCATATATGAAGTCATACTCACC